ATATATATATCAAAGTAGGATCAAATGAGTACACCTAAAAGGTTGAGAACGCGATAACAGATCTTGACCATTTAAATACTTAGATCAAAAGTCATTACTGAAAGGGGGATTGATGAAATTTTTTTAAACTGTTGGTATTAAAGTGTAACTTTTAAATGGTTAGAAGGTAATAACAGGAATTACAACTTTACCTATTTCCTATAATTTCTCACCCACTCACATATTTTTCCTTTAATCTACTCGTGTATATATTTCCCCTCTCTCTTTTTAGGGTTTCATAAAACTCACGTCATCATCAGATTTGGGCATGACCTACAACCCACCATGAAGATCTGTTCATCATCATCATCTTACACTGCAACCATTATCGTTGCACACAACTCCAATCAAGAGTGACGACCGAAGATGACCGTGACAATTGACAAAGGCGATGAAGGGGATTGATATGAGTGTGATGAAGGGTTCGAAGATGTCCGTGACGAAAGCGATCAACTAATAGAAAAAAAAATCCTGACAACATATTTTGTCGAGTACTCTTTTCCCATGATGGGCCACCGGAAGACGGATACACTCGGAAAAAGTATGGTCAAAATGTAAATCAGAAGTCAAGGTTTCGAAGGTAAGTTACGTAGATTGTTAAAATTGTATATCAAATTTTTCATAAAAACTAATATTTTTAACCCTTTAGACCATATGATTCCAAAAAGCATTTCTCGATTTTTTAACTCTGTACTAAAAGTGTCTAGGTTGAAAAAATCATTTTGATTTTTTAAATTTGTTCTTAGCCCACCTTGCAAACAGTAAGCATATACTTTTTTTATTATTTGGTTGTTGAAGTATTTTAATATGTTGATTTGATTTATTTATTGACTAATAAGGGAGGATTTTGTTGTATATGCTTTTACAGTTTAATTAAGGTATTATAACGTCGGATTTGATGAAGATGTGAAGTGTGATATTTTCATCAAAATTATGAGTTATTTTTAATCATTAGTGAATTGGCCGAAACATTATTACAGTTACTGATGAATATTAAGTACGCTTTATTTGCAATTTTGGTTTATTCATTTATGATTAACAAAATATTAAGTAAATTTTAATTGTATTTTTGTCTTATTTATTTACAATTAAATCATATTAAGTAAACCATCCTTGAGATTTTGGCTTATTCATTGATGTATTTATGAATCAGTATTAAGGATTGATTAATTGTTAATGATTAGAACTATGTTTTTTAGATCTAGACATCAAGAGGCAAACTTTGAGTTTCAATCATTAATGATAATATTTTTTGTAGGTTTTGGATGCTCTGTAGAAGAGAAAAACAGTGTAGAAGAGAAAAACAGCAATATCACCAACAACTGAGGCTTGATGTTTCAATTTTGTATTCAATTTTGTATTCCTGTTAGAGTTAATTAGGTAAGACACTTAGGCGTTGTTTGTTTTTTCTGAGAAAAAATGTTTGCAGTCTGCTGACCACATCTGCAGACCTTTGCGATAGAAAGTGTGGACCAAACGTCTACAATCTAAAAAATTTTGTTTGTTTTTAACATTTGTGGGCTGCTAAAATAAATTAAACTCTAAATAAACTGATTTTTTTTAACTTAAAAGATTTTTCAGTACTTTTATGACTTTATTATAGATAATTAACAAATCCATATCAACTTTTATGTATTATTGTACAAAAAATGAAAATAAAATGGTACGAATTAATATATATGTTTGATAAAAACCAATAAGTTTTGGTCGTAAAGTTATACCTAAACATTGTAATTAGGGATCAAAGAATTTGACATATAAAATGGATGAAAATAAGTATCGATTTTAAAATGAAAATTTTCAAAAATTTCATTTTACTTTTTCAATTAAATCAATTAAAAATTGACCATAAATATGTTTTCCAATAGATGGATAATACTATATTAAATAATGTTTTATAAAATTTGGCACAAAAAGATAAGATAATATTAGGATTTTTTTTTATATCTTGTTGCAAAACTCGGCCTACTCGGCCGAGTACTCGGAATCGGCCCTCCACCGAGGCGAGTTATGTGAACTTGGCAAACAAAACTCGGATTAAGTCAAACTCGGTCAAAAATCGGTCAACATCGGTCAAAATCTCTCTAACTCGGGCCTACTCGGTATTACTCAGTCTTACTCGGGTCTACTCGGTCAACAAAGTCAAACTCGGCCAACTCGGTCAAAGGGTCAAAATTGTATAATAAGAGAAAAAAAATAAAGAATTTCAATATTAATATGTATAATACACTTAATGATTTATTATTTAACACACACATGTGATTATTACTATATATATATATATATATATATATATATATATATATATATCTTAATTTTCAGTAATTATTCACGAAGTGAGTCAATTGTGTGTATTTCAGCTTTTATGTATTCACATATATCTAAATTTGTTATATATCTCAATCAAATTATGATTTTAACTTATGATTTTAACATATATAATTTTCCTAAAAATATTTCTACATGAATTATCGAATCCGAGTACTCCCCGAGTACTCTCGGGTACTCGCTACTCGGTAGTCGGTCGAGCAAGTATTGAGTAGCGAGTTCTACAACCTTGATATCTATATAAACAACTTCAACGATCATTATTCTAATTAAAATTTTATTTTTAAATTTGTCACAGAGGTCATACGTGTGTTGTCGAAGCTTTTTTTCTTGAAGTATTGGAACTTTCTTTTTCTCCAAATTGTTTATCATAGATAAAGTTGTAATAAATTTAAGTTTTAAAAAATTAATAAAAAAACAAAAAAAAAACAAAAATGTATGTGTTTTTTTAAGAAGATGTATAAAGATGTTTGAAGACTGATCCACATCTGCGCCAAGAAGAGGACGTGCAGACATTTTTAGGTCTGCAGTCTTCAAAAAAAACAAACAATCTACGAAGACTAATGTCTGCGTGTGGTCTGCACTGCGCAGACATAAGAGGTCTGCAGACAAAAAACAAACAACACCTTAATGGTTTGGAATGACTAACATGAGCTCGAATGTTTATTTGTCTATAACTTGATAATGAGTTGCATGGTGCACCTTAAGAACAAAACAAACAAGTCATTTCAGTACTATTACATGGGAAATGCTCGCTTATAAATTCACCTTGCAAACAAATTAACGATTCACTATGCTACTATTGCCACTACTGGAAAGTGGTTAATACAATACACCATAATATAATACGATTGTAACAAAATCCGTATTAGAAATAGATTAGATGTACGATTCTCATTAAACACATATTTATACGATTCATATACCATTAAAAATATTTATTAGGTTTGTCGAATATTTTATTTTTCCGTATATATCTACCGTTTTTGGTGTAATCAAACGGGCGAAAGGAACAGAGCCTCGTCTTTTCATCTCGCTGCCACCTCTCCAAGCTACCACTCAATCCTCTCCTCTTCCCTATGATCGCCGCACCACCATCACTGGAGCACCGCCTCGTCCCTCTTTCTGACCAAACAGAAATCACCAACACTTTCGCCCGAATAGAAACGCTTTCTTTTTTTGGATATCAGATCGGGAATTTGGGATGTATGATATATTATTGGAATACGATTGAATATGTAAGACGAAAAGGATCATATGTCTTGCATATCATTTCAGATGGATGGTATATCGGATCAGAGATAACTCGGTCATTGTTTTTATTTGGTTTTCCATCTTTTTCCTCAATGTCGACTGTAACTTTTGTCACTTACAACCATTTTCGTATTGATTTTTGACATAGTTTGTTGTTTCGGTTGTTTCATTCAGGATCAAACGATGAAAGGAGGCAAATCAAGTGGAGGAAATCCGATGGCAAGTACGAATGAATCTATACTATACTTCATACACGTCATCTGTAATCTGTTAGGGTTTATGCTGTTTTTTTTACTTTCAATGAAATAAGGTTTTTGTTCTTCACCAGGATCATGATTTTGGTACTTTTTAACATTTTTTTTGTTATAACTTTAGGTTTCTTGTAAAGAAAACTGCAACCAAGGGGAAGTTGCTAAGGATACCAACAAAGCCAATAAAAAGGATTTCATTTTTTGCTTTGAATTATCTTCCTTTTTGCTATTTGCATGACAATTTATTAAGCTTTGTTTCAAGTATTCTGTATCTAGATTGAGTTGAGTTTATGCTTTCAAGTTTTGGCATTTGATTTGAATTTCACTTGTATATTATCAGGTTGGTAAGCTGGAGTGGCAAAATGGAAGTCAATGTCAGGTTCTGTAAGTAGCACTTACATTACATCAATATGTTTAGTTTTTGAGGCAAAATCATAATGTGCAATAAAAGGCAGAATAAGAATAACCATATAGAGAATAAGAATAACCATATAGAGTAACATCTGTAGGTTTGTTGAATAAAGATTTTAACTTTTAACATTTAGACTCAAAACTTCTACGAATATATAGAAAATTGATGTAGTCGTTACTTGTTTTTCTGGTGATGGGAATGTATGACAAGACACATTTTGTAGCCAAAGCTGACAAAAGGAAGAAGAAATATGAGAAGAAATTGGAATCCTACAACAAAAAACTTGTGAAATCTTTGTTAGAAGTCATCTTTTAATCATGATAATATTGTAGTTTTGTTTGATTGACTTTGAGTTTGCTGCCATGAACATAGTCTGCAGGTGATAATGATGATTCAAACAAATCTCAATAACATATATTCCCTTCCCCAACATCAACAACGAGTACCATTATTCCACCATTCAAATCAAAGTCTTGGGTTAAACAGTTACAATGGAGAAATATTTTTCGATCAATGGTATTTTGTTGATGTCTAACTTTTAAAGTCTTGTGGTGTAGATTGTACTGTGTTCTGCTTTGAAGTTTTATGTAAGGGACAAAATGGTACAACATTATAAGAGGTATGATGATTATGTCATCTTTATGACAAAAAATGTTTAAATCTATGTTTACCCATTTTTTAATATAAACTTGTTATTGATACAATTAAACATTTTTTGTAGGGAATCCTAAAACATGGTCAATATTGCGATGATAAAATAAAGAGTGTGACCAAGTAGATGAAACAGACATCATTTTACCATTTTACCATTTCAGGTGTGTAAAACAACTTTTAGCTTCATAATCTTGATTTGTTTTTCATTTGTTTTAAAGACGTGTGTAACAATAACTATGATTGAGTATTTCATATATATTTGGTATGATAGCACTTAATTATTGTTTCAGGGCATCCTTTTTTTTTCTCAAATGTATTTAGTAAATTTCAACCAATAATGGTCGTGTGAAGGCTTCAGAAGGCTCCTATGAATCATTTTGAAATTCATTGTGAAGGTTAGTAAGCAATGGGTTAGTACATCTTACATCTCATATGCTGCATGCAAAAATTGTGCAACTAAAAGGCCATTACAGCTCTCACTTATTCGAGATTATTGCCATCTGCTTTGCTTTACCACTGATACATGGAACACAACTGATGTTGAACTCCCAATATTGACATTTAATTACTTAATTTTCATGTTATATAAATCATGTTATACAAAGAACAAATCATGTCCAGATAACAAACTTTGATTTATTTTACAAATCTTTATGATATTATGCAACAAATAACAATGAATTTTGATTTGTTTATTAGTCTCTACTCCCGCTTTTCCCTATTATAACATTATGCTTTGAAAAAACTACAAATTAAATTTAAAAAAAAATTAAATTTTCTATTTTTAAAATCAGTTTTTAACTTTTTTGCCTAGGAACGGGATGCCTAAAAGGATTTGAAGCTTAATGTGTGCGAAGAACTTGTATTTGATTTTCTATTGAAGAGAGTTTTCTGCATGTTGAACAAGTTCTAGCAATTTACCTTTATTGTCTTGTTTATTGCTAACTTTTAATTTATATTTTTGCTTCCTCATTAATGCAGTGGATGCCTCATTATCAATGTAATTTTTGGTTGTTTTGTTGGTTTGTTTAATGTTGTTGGAGTACTGTTTAATATTTTGTGGAAAAGTGGGCTAATGTTTTGGAATAGAGTACGGTTAAATAAAATGCAATACGGCTAATAAAGTGTGTATTATATGTGGAGGTGTTGTGGAGATAGAGTACGGTTATTTAACCGTACGCTCTATTGTGGCACCAAATCTAATACACCCCCATTATAATACGGGATGCAAGCTCGTACTCTATTTTGGAAAACAACCGTATTTTATTTTTGTTTTTCTAGTAGTGTGCATGGAAAATACTCGTTTTCATAAATTAACCTACCAAACGACATAGACGATTTGCAATCACTCTAATTGGATGGGAAATAATTGTTTTCATAAATGTACCTAGCAAATTTTTTGACCGTTGTGAGGTAGTAACTGTGAGATGTTTGTGATGCCTCCCAACTGACTTTAAAATTTTGAGGTAGCATGTTGATACTGGTGCTCATTATCTTCTTCGTCCTTTTCTTAATGACCTTATCATCAGGCTACTCTGTATCAAGCTACTGAACGAGGATGAGGTTTGTGTTCAAAATATCTACGATTTTTAAATTCGGTTACATTTTATCATAATTCTTTTATATGACAATATGAATGAGTGAAAAACTAAATATTTCAAATAAATAAACGAGAAACTAACCCTCGGAAACTACATATATTGGATTATTGACATAAACGAGAAGTTGAATGATATGTAGTCAAACCCTAGAGAAATACAGTTAAAGGTAAAAGAAGAAAAACACAAACGATAGTTGTTGGAAGAACAAAGGTAGGAGCAAAATGGAATGGAATTGGATGTGTCATAATGTCTTGTTTAGTATATTCATAATAATTATTGATCAAGTTTATCATCGAAGAAAAATTCATGGATTATTGGTGATTTGTTCCACACACCGCAAACGCCAATATTCTTCCTCCGCCACACCCACTCCAATAAAACCAAAAATCAACCGTCAAATGTGAGAAGATAGTGAACGTTTTTCTTGTTCTTTATATATTACATGTGATTTTTTTTCTTCATATCCAAACGGACAAACAGACACCCGATGTGGGATATTTTCACGGACCTTTTTATACAAGTGTTGGTAGTGTTTTCAACGGTAAAAATTTGTGAACATAACTGATAAAGATTAATTTTAGTTGCGGTTTAACGATCATCATGTTTGGATGGAACAGCAAACTCAAGGGCTACATTTTATAGACACGATGTTCATATTTTTAAAAGCAAATGAATATGACTAAACTTGAAAAATCAACTCAAGTTTAATAGTCGGTTTTAGGGGTACACAAACATACGATCCGGTTTTGATGACATAAGCTAAGATCTAATCCACATGAAATCCAATCCGATTTGAATCCTGTTTTAACCGGTCTTTGGTTTAGTTTTTAATCCGTTTTTGACCCGTCTTGGATTTTCGTTAAAACCGGTTTACAATCTAAGGGTAAATTCGATTTTGCTATAAAAATTTAAACCGGTTTGAATTCGGTCTACCGAATTATTCGATTTGGTTTGGCCAAAAGCCGATTTTCCGATGAGATCTTTTTCAAATCAGGGATCCGCTTTTTATCTGCTGATTTTACTTTTTTTTTTTTGTGAATTTAGTCGATAACTCCTCTATTTATATTTTATTACAAGTAAAATAAGAAAAAGAGGAAGGTACAGCTGCCGGTGTAAATAACGACACGATCACCGATCAACGTGCACATCCATCTTCTACCTACCACGCAACGCCACGTGACCAGTCGCGCAATCTAACGGTCCTCATATCAGATCCCCCTCGATCCAAGGGATGAGGATCACATAAACTATGGGACAAAGTCGAGTTTTATGTGATATAGTCGTGTTGTTTATCCACTCTCGAAAGAACTAAGAATTCATAGAAGCTTAAAGAACAAGATAAGATCATACGATATGGGGTTGGAAATTAATGCGGTCTACCTCTCTTATGTAGTGCACGTTCTGGCGGTCGCCGGAGCGGTTATGGTTCTGGTTTGGAACATCCACTTCAGAGGCGGTTTAGCGTGGGAATCATCCAACAAGAATCTCATCTTCAATGTAAGCTTTCTGATCTTATCTCTGTTTGTTATCTATGTTCTATGTTAGTGCAGACAGCATTAATTTGAATGATTTATTCTCCTAACATTAATTTGGTTTCCTTTAGTTGCTACTCTGGCGTTACGTAAATTTTAGGGTTTTAAATCGCCATTCATGGATGTAATTATCTGTTACCGAAAATGGTTGACTTTTGTCGATCGTGATTGTATGTTTTCCTAATTTGAGATCAAGACGTAGACGCTTGACGATTGAGGAATACTGAATCGAGTTTATCTATTCAATTTCAAACTTTCCGCCTTAATTTGGGAACAGTAGGGATTTTCCAAGCACATGCAGATGTGCTTTATATTTGTAGATTTTTTTCATCAATATTTGGCAGATAGATTTTGGAAAATAGACTTTATGGATTGATAACTACAACCGGTGGGGCTTCCTGCTCATGTGCCTAATTTGTTAAACCTTGTGTTGTGTCATCTATTAAATTGTTTCTTGTTTCTTGAAGCACTTATCAAAACTGCAACCATGATGTCAACTATCTCATTAGTTTCTGGAACTTTATCTTATGTTTCCTTTTGTTATTTCTTTACCAGGTCCATCCTGTTCTGATGCTTATTGGTTTGGTTATTATGGGTGGTGAAGGTAACGACATCATATTTGCTCACATAATGAAATGATTGAAATTTGAAATTCCAATTCTGACTTAATATATTGTCTTCTTCTATTAATTTTATGATGCGCAGCCATTGTAAGCTATAAAGCTCTTCCCTTCAAGAAGGCTGAAAAGAAGCTTATACATCTTATTCTACACGCCATTGCCCTGATTCTTGGTATTGTCGGAATCTACATGGCATTCAAAAACCACAACGAAAGTGGCCTTGCAAACCTTTACAGTTTACATTCCTGGATCGGTATCGGGGTTATTGTTCTTTATGGCGTTCAGGTAACTCATCTTTTCCATTCCATGGAATGAACCATTCCATTCCATTCATTCATGGAATGTAACTAATTTGTGAAACGAATTGGCAGTGGATTTACGGGTTTTTGGTGTTTTTCTACCCGGGTGGAACGGGTGATCTTAGAAAGGAGTCGCTTCCATGGCATGTGTTGTTTGGGATGTTTGTATACATCTTGGCTGTTGCAAATTCAGCACTTGGATTCCTTGAAAAGTTGACATTCTTGGAGAGTTCAGGAATTGACAAATACGGTTCCGAGGCGTTTCTTGTTAATTTCACTGCGATTATTGCGGTATTATACGGTACGTTTGTACTGCTGACTGCACTTTCGCGTGCTCCTGCTGAAGACCACCACAGCTATTCTGCAATATAAAATGTGTTTATGTGACTGAAGTTATTGCTATACATGCTTCCGTATGAGGTCGTTTCTGTATATTGGGTACATGAAGGTGTATTATGATATGTATTTATAGCCTTTTGTGTTGGGTGTAATTACTTTGTCCCTTTAATGGACATGACTTAATCGGATTTATAGAAATAACAGATGAAGTTTCTAAAAGAAAATATCCCAATAAAGTTGTTTCTTACAAAGCCATCAACTTGTATAGCCTTATGAACCGAATTTGGGTTTATTGTCGAACACTTTTGGATATGAGTTTCTCTTTTGAGCAAATTTATAGAGGGTTTTGTTTCATTACAATTTTGGTTTCAAATAGATAAAGTTTTTTTTTTTTTTTTCAATATTTTCTATTGTATATGTTTAAGGGATTGATCCTAAAAGTCGGTTTTTGTAGATTGTTAGGGATTTATCTTTAACTAAAACCAACTTATTCGTTTCCAAAGTACAATCTCAAGGAAAACACCAACATGTCTTTCCAAAACTGAGTTGAATCTCAATACCTACCTTCATTTACAAAAAAACATCAGGACGAACTCCTTTTCACATAACAGTGAAACATAAATAATATTCACTCAAGGGCCGTTTCTGACACCTTCATTTTTGGATCAAGAAACCCCCTACATCATATGTACATGTGTACAGTATAAAACAATAATAACGAAAACCCACAAATTATTTGATTCTAACAAAAATCACTATTTCCATTTGAAAAATAAAGCCCTATTAAAAGCATAAAGACTAATGATCCCTAACCCGCCTTCATCTTTACTAGCCAAAGTATTTTTCCACTTGACCAACACAAAATTTTTCTTCCCAAAAGAATATGATACTAAGAGACACTAAACAATTGATGATAGTATTAGGAGCTCTAAAAAATTATATAAAATATATATACCAAGGCTTCCCAATACCAACTTAAGTAAAGTTCCACCAAAGTAGTATTAACTTTTCAACTAAAATGTTTTTTTTTTTTTTTTTTGAACTTATTGATAATTCTTTTCCAAGGGTTTTTTTTTCTGTATACCAGTCTAGTATACACCAATGTACTATTATTATTAAATAATCATTCTCATTAATAAATTATCATGTTTTCAGAAAAAACATTTTTTTTAATTGTTTTTCTCTATCTTAATTATTACCGTAAACCACCTTTTGCAAAAGAATAGAAAAGAGGTGCTAAAGAATAGAAAAGAGGTGCTGGTGAATTTGATTTAATGCTTTAAAGAAATTATCGTGTGATATTTTTCCAAACAACTTACGATTTAGTCCTACAACTTTAAAGAAATTATCAATTTTGGAAGGCATAAAAATTCCACATATTACGAGACAAAGAAAGGTAAAGGATTTAATATTTACTATTTAAATAAAATTGATTAAATTACGACTAAAAAGTATACTAATTGTTATTTTTATTATTTTTAATATTATTTTATTACTATTATTATTTAGGATATTACTTATTTCAATAATAATTTTCGGTTAACACAGAATATCACTATATGTAACTTTTTATGTTTTTTTTAATGTTTTTTTTTTCTTTTTTTTTAACTCAAAGTAATAAATCAAAGTCAACATTTTCTTCTTATTGATGAGCCAATATTTTTTATTTTTAATATTTTAATATAATTATAAATCAATAAATAAGTATACTTTTTATAATAAACTGTAATTTTTAACAAAAAAAACCCCAAGTTTAAAAAAAAACTGCATGATTTACAAAAAAACTGCACTTTTTATAAAAAAAAAAAAACTGCACATTTTTTTTAAAACTTCACGTTTTAAAACAAAATTTCACGTTTTATAAAAAAACTGCACTTTCAAATTAAAATATGTGCGTTATAAAAAAAATTTAAAAATAACAAATTGTAACAAAAAAATAAACAGTTTTATGAAAATTAGATTTATGGCAATAGAAAAAAAATATTATGTTTGTGTGTTTACGCTAAAAACAAAGATAAAAAAATGATGAAAATTTATTTTTTTATAATATTATTTATGTTATTATATTATAAAAACAATATTTTTATCGTTTTTTTATCTTAATAAAAAATAAATTTAAAATTAATAATATTAATAAAGTTAATAATAAAATTATAATTATTAATAAATATTTATTGATTAAGTTATAATGAGCAAATAATAAAAGTTGATCAAAAATAATTATATTGTGATGATGACTTAAAAAGTAAGGTCAATGATAATTATATGATAATAATTTATCATCATTCAATTAAAAAGTAAGCCTAATAGTGTAGGTTGGTGTGTCCATAGTAGGACCTATTTTCCAATTGTCCACCATAGACATATTGGAGTCAACCGTCTAACCACGGTACTTAATATGAATATTTATCGAGACGCACCCAATCAAATTCAATATAGAAACATTTTCCTCGCTCAACACAACTATCCCCAACAATCAGTTTTTTTCAAGCTCGAAGCTAAAAAATGTATCTTAAAAATACAAAAATCATCACATTTTCTTGCAACCATTTACCCCAAACATCGTGTCATCAACAAACAAAAAGGAGAAACAAAAAGTCTTCATACCTATTTTTGCCCCCATCATAAACACCACAAACAATCTCATATGTCATTGCAACATAAGCCTTTTCAAATACAATATAAACATGAACGAAGACAAAGGATCCCCTGACGAATACCACATCTGATAAAAAATACAGAAGTTATTGATTCATTTAATTAAATAAAAGTAATAGCCGAATCTAAACATGCACATATCTAGTGGCCTAGTCATGTGGATGCATCCTGAATTTGGAAATTACACACTTTGATATGTGGTTAAATTAGATTTGCTACCAAACGCTCTTTTACTTATCCATTTTGTCAACTATAAAACATGTGAAGGTCAAAATTAAGCATTGAACTATTGACTTTGTGTTCGTTTAGTCACTAAACTTTGCATTAAGGTCACTGAACTTGTTATTTTTTATTCAAAATAGCCATTAAACCTGCTATCACATATTAAAATGACTAGTTTCAATAAAAAACAAATTTATTGACATTTTAAAACTTAAATTAAATTTAGTGACTAAATGAACACAAATTCAATAGTTTAATGCTAATTTCTACCTTAATCATTCTATTATTATTTGTTTGTTGTGTTTTAGATTTTTCCATACATGGCATATCACATCGATCGTTAATGATCATATTTTTTTTAACATGCATATATAATAACTGATATATGTATATAAATAAGATATTAACAATTTAATATCCGAGATGTAGGATTAAAGTGTAATAAAAAAATGAGAAAATATGAAATGTGAATTATTTTGTGCATGTTTCTAAGTCATGAATGATGATAAATCATAAATGAAATCTTATCTTTGGAAGTATTTCAATAGTTAGACTACAATGCCAATTGAATGTTCAAAATACGATGCACTTTCCACATACCAATGCACATATAATTTTTGAGGTTCCATGAATTAATTTGTTTTATATTAGAACTTTTATTTCTTTACAAGATTTGTGAATTATGTTAAAATGAAAACTGAAACAGATAAAAGAAAATATCATATTTCTATGTTTTTAAAAATATATATTTATAAAGAAAAAAACTTTAAATCTTATATATGTATCATTGTAATTATATTATCGAATTTTTGTTATTTTAATCACTAAATTTTGTTATAGTTATAAAAGATCACTAAATTTATTAATTTTTATTTAAAATGATCACTCAATCTATTATTATCGGTCTTAAAGATTATTTTAAATAAAAATAACAAATTTAATAATGTATTATAATTTAAACAAAGTTTAAAGAATCAAAATTTAATATCGCATGTCTCATTCCATTTTTTTCTCTAGTATTTTTAGGTTATATTCAATTTTGGGTGGGTTTTTTACTTTATTGATAGTCATCTCATCCCAAACAAATTACAAATCAATACAAATTCTAGTGCTGACATGGACAAATTACAGGTAAGAGAATGTGCCCAACTGTATGGAAAAGTGGAGGTCAATACTTTCAAAAAACTGTCTGTCCATGCGACCAATGAATCTTAGTTCATATTTTTGCCAGAAAAACCGTCATCTATTGTAATATGTCTAAATGTAGCCCTCATGTTTGTATCATTGCAAGATTAACCCCAAATTTTATCTCACCCCCAATCAATACCAAAAAGCTAGTGTGGCACACCAACGTCTCCGTGTACTCCATGTGGCAGTTTTAACCAAATTTTTATACAAAAAGATATTTTTATTTATTAATTGTTATCAACACTATTACTAGTAATGGTTTTTGATTTATTAGTTATATGACTCTATTCCACTAAAATATTTTAGATGCTTATTTAATAGACAAAAAGTCTTATTGAATTCTAAGTTCGTAATGATGTCTCTTATTTTTCGAATTTACGTAACAAAATGGGTTTTAGAGGGATATCAGATATGTCATTTTATGTTAAGACTATGTAGCAGTTTACCTGTAACATGTTTAATTGGTTGGTTGCACAATTAGTTGTATAAATTAGGACAAATATAATAATGGTGTATATTGGTAAATATATAAAACTTTAATCATTTAACCAGACACCAACGCCAATGATGAGGCGACAACATCCAGTTACGATGTTGTATATTTTGGTTATAGAATGAAAGATATAAATTTCTTATAAAAACCTTTTTATGGCATAAAAGAAGAAAATTGTAAAATATTGTCATATTAAAGAGAATGATTTCATTTCACGTTTATCTTTAAGTATATCTGTCATATGCTGAATTTGATCAATTCAACCTTTGAATATGACCACTTCAACACTTGCATATGTAAGGGTTAGATATGCGAAACACCAAATAGTCTAAGGGGACCTTTAAAAATTTAATCGCTTGCAAAAGAATCTGCATCTCTGTTTTTTCTTGGAATAGCGGTTGCTGAGTTGGTGACAATTATTAGTCATCTTTGTTTAGCCAGTCGTTATTTTTTATGATTTATATTTTGGAAGTATTTATATGTTGAAGTTTATATAATTTTTAATTTTATGTTATTACTTTCTACATATAATATTTGGATAATTACCAAACAACCGTCGAGAAATGAGCAGTTATTTCATGATAACCAAGTTTTGATTGTTATAAAAAGCACCCGGTACGATCCGCCAAGCCCAATAGCGCATCGAGAGCCCACAAGTCCGTCTTCACTCTAATCCACAATCGCGATAAGCTCC